CAGTTTCTGAGTCCAGAGGGCAGCCTGCAGAGAAGCTTTCTAGCTTTGGGCTCTGAGCGTCGTCAGATGAGGGAGGAAGGACACCAGGGGCAGCCCAACATTTCCCGATCCCGTGGTCATTGTCTCCGGCGATGGCATCGGGGGTCCCGGTGAACTTTCTGAGCGGCCCACACCACAGCAGGCAGGAACGCTGCCCATTCTTGATCTCTCGGGGTGGTTCTCTGCGGTTTCTGTCTGAGGTTTCTGTCCCAGCTTCTGCTCGCTGGGCCTCTGGAAATGGGTGGTGCCGGTGCTCAGCGGGGCCGGCAGGAAGGTGCGAGGACAGGTCGGAACTTTACTGTGGAGAACTGTAGCCAGACATTGGAGAACCCGAAAGGGCGCGCTCTAGTTTTCCATTGAAACACAACATTGCTCTCTGCAGTCACCTCCTTGTTGTTGTTGTTTTTGTTAATCTTCACCCAAGGATATTTTTTAAAGAAAACCAGAGCTGGACAGTGGCTTAGGCGGGAAAAACAGATTCTTACCAGGAATGATTGCAATGGGGGAAAGAGACCTCAGTGCAGAACGGGGCTGAATTCCAAATACAGCAGGCACGGTGGGGGTTTATAGCCAGGGAGCCGGCTGGGGGTCAGTGGATGGAAAATTACTACGAGGAAAAGTCATGGGTACAGGGGGATCCTGGCTAAGCACACTGGACAGGATTCCTGCTGAAGGCAGGCCAGGGTGATCCAGCACCTGGGGACAGTGAGGGATCAGGAATTCGATCAGATATCCAGGGTCGGGGATTCTCCATAAACTGGCTTAACAAGATTCTTGCTCTGGAGGGAGGGCAAGACCCGAGGAAGACCAGGAGGACCGGCCCAGTCAAAAAAGGGCTCAGAGGCGCCAGACTGAAGTTTGGTGGGGAGATGTTGTCGGTTACAAGGGAGGCGCTAGGTTTAAAAGGCAGACAGGTAAGTAACACATTTTAAGAAAATGCCTCTATCATAACGTGTGAAAAATGTTTTAATTACATTTCTAATTAAAAGAGACAGTTACAAAATGTACACCTGCTAGGCGGACGGGGGTGGTGGTGTGTAGTTTTGTATTTATCAGGACACGCCTCTTACACTGCTTCCCCTGGCACACCGTCCCAACTTTAGAAATGTGTAAAATGAGGACCGGGACCACAGGTTGTCCCAGTCCCTGTGGATGCCATCGGGCTGTCCAGTAGATATATTCGAGTATATCCAGTAAGTTTTGCTAACCTTTTGTGATGCACATGGCCTCCCAGTGTCCCCACACCTGACAGCTGTCTGCATCGCCCACGGAGCTTGTTACAAATAAGGATTTCCGGCCCTGGCCCTGGGCTCAGTGCGTTGGAACATCGCCCTGTACACCAAAAGTTTGTGGGTTCAATTCCTAGTCAGGGCACATACCTCGGTTGAGGGTTCCATCCCCAGAGAGGGCACATACAGGAGGCAGCCGATGGATGTCTCTCTTTCACATCAATGTTTCAGGCTCTATCTCTCTCCCAGAGTTTCTCTCTCTCTAAATAAATCTGTAATAACATATCCTCGGGTGAGAATTTAAAGAAAAACAAAACAGATTTCCGGTCCCCAGACCAAAGGACTGGAATTCAGCTTGGGGATTTGTGTTTACAGCAGGTAGCTCCAAAGCAGCCCGTCTACCCCGGAGTCCCTGGGCATCCTTAGAATGTACCAGGTTCTGCCTGTGCAGAGCTCTCCCCTCCCCACTGGGACTAAATCCCTAACTCTCTGTCCCAGTGGAGAATGTACATGGCACTGGGAAGCTGTGGTCTCTGAGCTGGAGTCACGAGGCTCCCCTGTATTGGCAGATGGGGCCTGAGATGTGTGATCGGGTCCTTTACGCACAGCACGGGCACTCTGCTGGCTGTGATGGAGGTGGAGTCCGGTGGTCCAGGCAGACCCCAGGAGACTCTGTGGGGGAGCCCGGCCCGCGGCGTCAGCCCACCACCTTCCTGCTTGGACAGCTGCCTCCTGGTTCAACTCAAAACTCCTTTATCAGACTTCCCATCCTCACCTCGTTGTGGAGTGCTTGTCTGTTGTGTGCCTCTCTCCTTCCCTAGACTGAGCTTCTTGAGGGAGAAATTTCTATTCTGTGGATATTATTCAGTCTCTGTGTCCCCAGGGCCTAGCCAGGCCTGGCACGTGCAGGTGCTCCATCAATGGTGGGTGTTTGAGTGGACAAATGACAGGTACTCTCTGGGAGCCCAGAAGAGGAACGATGACCTCTGCTGGGGAAGGTGTCATCTGAAACAGATGCCACCTGGAGGTAGCATTTGAGCCGGGCCTTGGCAGATGGGAGGGATTCAGCTGGTGGGACAGTTGGGTGGGTGTTCCAGGCTCACGCCGCAGCACGGACGAAAGCTGGAGGTACGGAAACACGTGGCCTCCAGACAGGCTGAAGCACGTGCTTGTCTGGGCTCAGTTTGGGTCTCCCCACAGGGCTGCTTCTCCCTCCTGAGAGCTCACCAATGTTCCCCAGATAAGACCACTACAGCCACAGTGCCACCCACGGCCGCATCCAGCGTGGTAAGTGCTGCATGGGGCAGCCTGGGAAGACTGGGAGAAGGGGGGCAACCCTCCGCCCTGGATACTGACCTTGCCCTCAAGGCTTATGGTTAGGGTCATCCGTTTGGAGTTAAACACCCTTGGGCTTGGGTTTGGGTTTGGTGGATCTCCCCCATGGCAGGTACCATTTATTGCATGCCCACTGTATGCCAGGCACTGCAGTGGGTAATTTCTGTGCATCATATCATCAAATATTTCCAACAACCTAGTGAGGAAGGTGTTATTAGCCCATTTGACAGCTGAGGAAACTGAGGCTTAGAGGATTAAAATCACACAGGCTTTGAAGTCACATGGCAAGGAAATACGTAGAGTCGCAATAGGAGCCCCTCTCTCATTCCAAACCTTAAACACTAATTCCCCATGATTAAACTCGGTGGCTTGTTCTCTGGTTCCCAGTGAGGAGCCAAACACTGGTGTTTATGTCGTTCTTTGTGCTGGGTGGTTATTGAACATTTAGGGACTGGTGCCATCAGAGGCTTGGAAAGCCTTGGCCAGAAGCCCAGTTCTTATCAAATAATGTTTGAAGAGAAGGCTGAGGGATTCCAGGGGCATCGTTCCCCAGGGCAGCCTTTGGGGGTCCATATGATGAAGGCGAAAACATGGAAGCCACTGAGACAACCACAACTGCAGAGCCAGGTGGGCCCTGAGAGGTCATGTGAACAAGGGTTTCTCAAGCCCTTTTGATGGCAATTCACAGAATGTCATAAAATTTACAACTGGCAGGATCAGATTCAAACGCCAGTGAACTGCCCGTATTTCTAAGGCAACCTGCCTGTTGGGTGTCTATGTATCTATATTGTCTGTCTACTTTTATATAAAGCTCTACCCAGGGAGGCATTTATGGTCTGTACATTTCAGTACCTCCTTTGAAAGGAGGGCCATGCAATTTTGAGAGAGATGACCTTCTTGATGGTTCTCTTACCAGCCAAGAGAGAGTAAAATAAAACAGTCAAGGAGGCCGCCCCTTCCCAAGTTTCAGCAATCACTTGGTTTTCATCATTTCCCCCAAAGCTGTTCACAGCTCTGAAGTTGGATCCAAGGCAGTGGACATGGAGGACCTCAGTGGGGTCCCCTCCACTGAAGATGAAGCCCAGAGCCCCAGCCAGTCTAACCATCCAAGGACAGACTCTGGAATCCCAGGAGGCAGTTAGAGCAGAGATGAAATTGAGCTGGTTCTCAGGCAGAATCCAGGGGATGCTCCTGAGAATCTCCCAATGTGGCCGAGTCCCTGAACCACTCCAGGTTCCGTTTTCTTTCTGTGGGGACTGGAGTCGAAGACAGTGGGAAGGTGGTCAGAGCCCAGGGTTTAGAACCAGCGTGTGTTGTCGATGTGCTGTGTGACTTTGGGAAAGTCTCCTAACCTCTCTGAGTCTCACTGTCCTGGTAGGTAAATGAAGGTTCTTCATGGATCCTTCCAGCTCAAACCCACATCATCCTGTAGTGTTGCTTTTATAACCTCACAGCATACGTCATCCATAAATGCCTGTTGGCATCTGTCTGAATACCAGGTCTCTGAGCTGGGATGTCCCAGGGAAAAGGGCCTGTTGACAGCAAGACTTACCTGCAAGACACCACCTTGCCTGCCACCTGACCCTGAGAGAAGGGAGAAGCCTGGGCTGGGTCTCTTCTCCATCACCCAGAATATTGCAATGGAAGAGAAATGGCATTAAGAGCGAAGCTCCCCATTTCCTCCACATACCTATTTAAAAATGGATTTGGGAAATGGCTCTGATCAAAAAAATTTTATGAGTACATTGGACATCTGAGCCCCATGCTGTGTTACATTGTCAAATATAGGCACGAGTCCACATCAAACTTTTCTGAAACACCAGCACATTCAGGGTAATCAAAAGATCAAATTTTATTTTGAAAATGTTTAACACTGGAGGTTTTTAAATATAGATCCCATTTATCATGTGGTTATTTTGGGGTTTGTCGGTGGAAGGAAGCCAAAGGTCTTTCCTTGGGCAGGACTCTCCTTTGTTTTAAAATATATCCTTTCTTCCTGCTGTCTTGATATTCTTTCATGCATTACTAGATGAGCTGGGGTTTTTATTTTTACCTTACTTGGTAAAAATAAACCCCATAGCTGAACCCTATTTAAAAAAATGTTCTGCTCTGTGAAATCCCAGAACCTCAGCATCCTTGCGTCAGCATCAGGGTGGCTTCGGGTTTCCCAATTTACACTGCAAGAAACATTACAGTTTCTTTTTTAAAAAGACAAAGTCAGAGCCCTGGCTGGTGTGGCTCAGTTGGCTGAGCATTTTCCCATGCACCGCAAGGTCACCGGTTCGATTTCGGGTCAGGGTACGTGCCCGTTGCAGCTCGGTCCCTGGTCGGGTGTGTGCCAGAGGCAGCCGACTGATGTTTCTCTCTCACATCAGTTTTCTCTCTCTCTCTCCCTTCTTCTCTCTCTTAAAGAAGAAAAGATAAAAAATACACAATAAAAACATATATATAAAAAAAAGACAATGTCAGAGATGGTTCAGAAAGGGGTGGGCTCGCCCAGCTGGAGAGGCCAAGCTGGGATTTGGACGTGGCCCTCTCTGGCCTGGAAGCCCGAGCTGGCATAATTGTCCATCACCTTCTCCCCACCCCCTCAAGGAAAAATGAGACCCAATGCTTGGCTCCAGAGGACCCCCAAGGTTTAAGGAGATGAGCCCCAAACAAGGCTTGACACTCATCTCAGAAAACCCCCCGTTTACTAATCCGCACCTTCTGTCTCTGAGGGAGTGTGGTTATCTTTGGGTTTAGTGGCTCAGTGGCAGAGACAGAGGCACAGACAATCCTCCAGAGCACAGAAAAAGGCCTGATGGTTTTTATTAGTCTTGAGGAAAAATTTTATTTAATATCAACATGTCAGATTTATGGAGTCAATTTTGTTTCTCCTTGAGTAAAATTCTCTAGAGGGTGGCAGGAACCGAAAAGGAAATGCGTCCCAGGAAAGCCTGCCTTCCGGAGAAGGGGCACTGTCTTCAGAGGTGAGGACGGCTGGCCTGGCCTTAGGCGGGATCTCTGGGCACCAAAAGGACTGACCTCACAAGTGGAGGCCAGGGACCTTGACCTTGTCAAGTCCTGTGACCAGAATCCCTCTCTGGGGATTCTCTGGAGGGTGAAGGGTGGCCGTGGGGCTCCCCCAAGCCCAGGGGACCATCAAGAAAGAACCAGGGGCAAGACCTGGGAGCCTCCCTCAGGAACCCAGCAGAGTGGGTGAGCCCTGTGCAGTAGGAGAAGGGGGCAAAAGTCATGGTCTGGGGGAGCTCATTGAGGTCACTAGGTGCAGAAGATGTTGGGAAAGAATTGGTAAATAGGGTTGTAGCTCCTTAGGTTTCTCTTCAGGCAGTAGACGAACTTCCGGTCACAGGAGCAGAGCTTCACCTGGCAGAAGGGCCCAAGCTCTGCAAACAGGACGCCAAATGCAGAATGAGGAGGGGAAGGCACGCTCTCCAGGCACTGCCGCCCAGGCTTGCTGCAGCTAGGACTCGCTTCTAGGCCGAGCACTCCCGGTCCGTTTCTGCTCTGATGGGCGCTCAGTCTGATGAGGGAGGCACGGCGTCTATGCTGGGGGAATGCATAATCTGATGGCAGAGGCCCAACTGCTGCACGGGGTGAGGGTTCAGCCCAGGGTGGCAGAACTCCTGTCCTCAGGGAGCTCCCAGTCTGATGGAGGACACACATTCCCTCCCCTTGGGAGTTCCCAGTCTGATGGTGGAGACAGCTCCTGCTCTGGAGGAACCCCCCTTTTCATAGAGACACCATACCCAGACTTAGCTTTGAACTCAGAGGGACCTGAACTTGAATTCCAGCTCTAGCTGTGTTTACTGGCAAGCCTTTGAGTTTCAGTTTCCTCATCTGTAAAATGGGGAGACTAAACCTACTCACAGGGTATTTTCAGGGAGCAAGTAAAAGGAAGTATGCAAAGCATTTGGTACCTACTGAATGCTCACTCTAGGAGGTTGCATATAGCTGCAATATGCCTGCCTCTCTTGCCCCCAGCTCTGTCCCCCAAGATATAGTCTGGCTGACTTCTAGGGACAGCTGAACTCAGAGCCAGCACAGACCCAGGCTCTTGCAGTGGCCTGAATGGGAAGTCGCAGCCTTACCGCAGGCGACCAGGCCCCGTGAGAATCTGTATTTGTATGACTGTGTCCGGATGCTGCAGCTTTTCTCCTCCAGCAGCCCATAGCAGTGGTCATGCACCTGACAACACCTGTCAATGCAAGACACTTAGATCCTGATTGGAAGGGGCGTGCCACTTAAGCAGAGGCCACACTGTAGGTGTGGTCTGGGAAAGAAAGGCTCTAATAATAATATGCCCTTCCTCTAGGGCTGCTTGCCATTGGCTAGCAGCTCACTGACCTGCTTTTTCCCCCTAAGTTCATGGTGAGACTACATTTCCCAGCCTCCTTTGCAGGTACATGTGCTCACATGACTAGGTTCCAACCAGGGAAATGTGGGCAGAAGCGAAGTACACCACTTTCAGACCTACCCATAGAAACCTTACACAGTATCCTCTGCTTTCTCTCCTTCTCCACCTGGATAAAGGTGGATAAAGATGATCTAGCCAAGGACTCTGAGGCCATAGGGAATGGCAGAGCCACAAGATGGAAGGAACCTGGGTTCCAGAATCAACATGTTTGATTAAACTGTTATAAGATCAAAAAACAAATTTCCAGTATGTTAGGTGTAGCAGGTTGCATTAAAATTTTCTTTTGGCCTGGCCGGGTGTGGCTCAGCAGTTGAGCATCGACCTAGGATCCAGGCGATCGAGGTTCGATTCCCGGTCAGGGCACATGCCCAGATTGCGGGCTTGATCCCCAGTTGGAGGCAGCCGATCAATGACTCTCTCATCATTGATGTTTCTATCTCTCTATCCCTCTCCCTTCCTCTCTCTGAAATCAATAAAGATATGTTTAAAAACAGAAAAAGTTCATAGCTTATTCAACTCTCCTTAGTTTTTACATAATGTCCTCTTTTCTGTTCCAGGATCCCACCCAGGACCCCACATGACATTGAGTCATCACGTCTCTTTAGGCTCCTCTTGGCCATGGCAGTTTCTCACACGTCCTTTGTTTTTGATGACCTTGACAGTTTTGAGGAGTACTGGTCAGTTATCGTGCAGAATGCCCTGCTATTGGGATTTCTCTGATGTTTTTCTCATGTTATGTGTTTATGTTTTTGCTCAAATTGTTCCAGCTTTGGCTACTGGGAGCTCTTTCAGTTGGTTCCTGTGCTCTTTGACATATCTCTGTCAATGGGGTTTGTTTTGTTTGAGCACTTCCTTACTTTCTGCATTTTAAGAAGCTCCAGGCTCATTTTGTATATTTCCTGCCCTAGTCCTCGCAGCAGCCATTCCTCCAAGGACCCTTGGTTCCTGGGACAATGGTATTAAAAAACAGATCTGGGCACTAGGTAGTGCTTATGGCTACTGAGGGGTTCTTTTTGGTCCTCTCAGCTGACAGAGTAAAAGAGTATATATATGTGTCTATGTTAACCCTGTGTATATACACATATGTGTACATGCTTCTATATGTAACCACCTGAATCTATATTAAGTTAAACGGGAGTTCATACTGACATCTCCAACTCTCATCCACCACCACATAGATCATTCTAGCTTCCTTCCCTTGCTTGCCTGTAAACTCCCACTCCAGCAGCGAGAAACTTGGCTCCAGCCATCTGCCATCCATTCGCTTAATTGCCCCATTCCATCATACGTGTCTAGCGGTCTCAGAATTGTTAACCCAGCAGGTGGCATTTTCCAAAGAACACTGACACTTCCTAATCAAGATGTGAAAACTAAGTCCCCTCCCCCTTAAGGCCATTGTTACTACCTCAACCAGGAGTGTGCTGGAAGGACCAGAGTGAACTCTCTGAGGCTTAATCATAAAAACGCTATACTTTTTTGCCTTGCAGTCTTGGGAAATGCACTCTTGGAACTCCAGAGTCACCGTGCTGTGAGGAAGTCCAAACAATCTTGGAGAGGCCTGGGTGAGAGGAACTGTGGCCTCCAGCCCCCAGCCTCATCTGAGCTCCCAGCCAGCAGACAATGTCCACGTGCCAGCTATCAGAGTGCGCCATCTGGAAAGTGTCTCACCAGCCTCATTCCAGGTGCCCAAGCTGAATCCAGGTGGGGCAGAGACAAGCCATCCCACCAAACCCTGCCCAAATGGCAGATTCTTAGCAAAACAAATGGTCATTGTCACTTCAAGCCACTACATTTTAGGATGATTTGTTGTATAACAATAGACCGCCTGATACATTAGGCCACTGAGATTGGGGGGAGTTACTAGATGTATCTTGGGCAAGTCAGTTAACTTCCCCAAGACTCAGTTTTCTTATCTATAAAATGGTGCTTTAATATTCACCTTCCGGAAACAACATGGAATTGGAGGAGACAGTGTGGGCACAGAGCCCAGAGCGCAAAGGGCAGTTGTGATAATCAGCTCACCAATCGGTAGCATCCTTGGGAGTCCCTCGACCGCCCCAGCCACAGTAACAGCCGTAGAAGCCGTAGCTGATCACGGCGCTCTTTCCCGTCACCTTCTCAATCATTGACTTCAGCTCCAGCAAGCCCCCTGGCACAGCAGGCACACCTGAAAGACAGCCCGCTCTCCCAGCATGCTTTCTCCCACCGGGGCTTGGAGGGGCCGGGCGTCTCTTTGCTATCCCCTGCGTTCGTGGGCAAGGGGAGGGGCAAGGAAGGTGAGGGCAGGCGGCAGAGAGAAGCAGTCCCAAGTCTGGGGAGTGCAAGCCTGGGTCCAGGTCACAGCGCGGCCGCTGCCTCACGGCGTGGCATTGCGTAGGCCGCTGATCTCTCAGGGCCTCGCTGTCCTCGGCTTCCTAAAATGCACTCCCACCTCTTGGAGGGTTAAAATAAGGTAAAGGGTGTACATTTCGAGCACAGTGGCAGATCCGTGCTAAGTGACAGAGAAACAGTAGGTGTGATTACTAATGTATCTGTACGAAGTGGGCAGACAGGCCCTTCCTGTATCTCCTGACAATCCACCCCTCCCGCCTCCCTACTAACACCAGTTAGAACATAAGAACCTTCTGGCAGGATGGGCCCCTGAGAGCCCATTGAAGCCAGCTCCCTCCTCGTGCAGATGGAGACACTGAGGCCTAGAGGGGAAAGGTGGTTTGTGCGGAGGTAGAGGCTCCAGGCCTCCTGCTCCTGCTGGAGTCGGTCTCCAGGGATCTGGAGGCATCAAAGAGCAGGACAGCCAGTCAGGAGCTGCGGGGGAGGGCTCAAGACAGACCCCAACCCCCATGCTGTGCAGCGACCCCCCCCAGTGGGCTGCACAGAAAACCTGGACAGGCCTGAGCGGAGAATGACCAGGAATCCTGGGATGGAATATCCCTATAAGGTGCTTGTTTTTCATTTTGGTTTTGCTTTGGCTTTATTTTATTTTGTTTTGCATCAAACAAACAAAAAATCTGCCTCCTGTACTTACAAGCCACACAGTCTCCGTAGAGCATGTTTACTAACCACCCCCAGGAACCCCGACACAGCCCTGCTGGCCGACTGTTACCCTGCGTCATGAGTGAGAAGGCAGAGGCTGGGAGAGGCAGAGCTTTGCCCACGTTTACACAGTAAATGCAGAGTCCAGATTCAAACTTAAGTCTCTATGACCTCAAAGACTCGTCTCCGTGCCATGACCCTATTGTTCTTAGAGGGTAGAAGGTCACAAGTTCAAAGGTCATGGGGCCAGCACTTACAAGCCAGGAACCAAGCCAGTGTGAGGAGCCCCTTCATCTCCAAGGTTCTGGAAAAGAAAACACATCCCGTGACACACTTTCCAGGAGATGTCCTCACAGCCCATTCGAACGCGGCCCCGGCTTCCCACCAAGCCCCATCCTCTCACATTGTTCAATAAATAGGCAGCCCAGTGAGGAAGGATGAGGCAAATACCTCAAGGAGTTGACCTAAGGGGTCCCTGGGGGCAGAGGGGCATCCGCGGGGTATTGTCCCCAGGAGAGACGGGAGAGAACTGTCCCGCCACAAATGCGCCTGACCACAAATGTCCCCGACACAGTTGCCCCTTCTGCAAAAAAATGGCTAAAAGTAACCAGAGGAATGGGTGGGATTCATACATGGATGGAGATTTGACGGCACAGTGGGGGCAGGAATTGACACACAGGGACAGGGCCCTTGAGGAGGGATGAAAGGACCTGGCAGGGAGAAAAGCATCCTGGACAAGGGGCGAGGCTGGGGCAGGGAGGGGAGGGCAAGGGAAGCTGATGCTTTTAAGTTTTGTCTTCCTCTGATCTCACGGTGCGGAGGGCCTGTTCAAGGGCGTCTTCTTTGCCCGGGCTGAGGGCAGAGGCTGGGAGGGTTCACCCCCCTCTCCTGGCACCGAGGGCAGCGGCTGCCGGGAGCAGGGGCTCAGGAATGAAGCAGAGCGCTTATGCGATGTGGCTCTCAGGGCCTCTTTAGGGCTTTTGCGGGTCCCAAGCACTTTTGCCTTCATAGTCCCGTTCCTCCAAAAGGAAATTCTAATAAATTAGATTTTACAACTGCATTGGTATAAAAACAAATGCAATCCATGCTGGATTCATTATTCTTATTATATTCCTTTTTTCTTCAATGTTAAAATAATTGAAAACAGAAACATTTTCATGGGTCCCAGGCATTATGCCTGCAATAAGTTCACCCTGGGCGCTCATGAGAGCTCTGAAGGGTGGGTATCACTGTTGTCATTTTGCCAGTGGAGAAGTGCAGGCTCAGAGAGCTCAAGGAACTTGCCAGAGGTCACACATTTAGTAAGAAGTGGAGGCAGTGTGCGCCTCAAGGCACCACGCACCTCGCTCCCCGGAGGGAGGAGCTCTCCTTTGAGCCTTGGAGCCCAGAGGCCCCAGCTTCCCTCCCAAGCAGACACATAAATCTCTGGCCTAGAGTCCAAAAAAGTCACACCCAGAGGCAGAGGAAATGTGTCTTGGGCCACTGCCTGATTCTAACTTGGCCTCTCAGAGGCTCCTTTACCAGCGGCTGCCTGCTTCCCTTCCCTCTCTGGATCCCAAAGTCCTTGTTCATCCGCAGCTGCTCAGCTGGCCAATGGTCTGCTGGGATTTCCCCTTCGGTGCCCTGCTATCTCTGATCCCTGAGTTCAGTGGTCATTTCTGCCAGTGCTGTGCCCTCAGCCTCTGCCCCCTCCCCCCCAAGGCCAGGTTCCAAACACACAACCCCCAATTCCCCAGGGCTCCTGGCTAGTGGAATGTCCTCTCCATGCCATCCTTTGCCCAGCAGCTCCTCTGAATTCCAAGGACATTCCTGAGGGTGTATCCACCCATGGCCTCTGCTCTGAGGGCTCTGAATAGCCAAGGTAATGCCCCTAGACCCTACCCTTCCACACCAATCTTTCACAGCTGCTCCCTAGAGCTGTGACAAGAGGAAGATGCCAACTACCATGTGCTGGGCACCTACAATGTGCCAGGCACTGTCCACTGTCTTTTTAAACCCACCAAGGACCCTGGCAGGTGAGAATTGTTAGACCTGCTGGCACAGTGTCTGTCCCTTCAACAGTCCTTTACTGAATGAAATAATACATGTTGATTTTTACAGACAAGGAAATCGATGCTCAGGAAGGGGAAGTGAGTTGTCTGAGGATTCAGGCCAGGAATGGGCCTCAAGTCCTTTGACTGACTGGACTGCCCTGCCTCTGAGCAGCCCCTGTGCAGTAACCACGTTGTTCCCCTTCCACATCTTATGATGCTTTGACATCTTGGCGTCCTTGCTGGGCTGGGAAGAGAGAGCCTCTCCTAGGACTAGCTAATTCCTAGAGATAGCCAAAGACGGCTCTGTGAACACACCTTTCACAGGCAAGCCAACCAGTCCTAAGCCCCCTGGCCCAGCCACCTTTATTTAACACTCATGCTCCCAGCCAATATTTCTTCTGCCCTAAATCACCCGAGGGCCAGGGACAGACCACCAGGTGCCACCCCATGTAGCCTGGATTCCATTGAAATTTTTCAAGTTACTCAGTCGTGAACTTTCCTTTCCCGTGGAGAACACAATTAAGGCTCTGGACTATGCTTTCACTCATTTCTTTTGCCTCCTGGCCCACCCTGGTGCTTCCCCCAGTGGCCCTGCATGCTGTGGCATGTTCCCTTCTCTTGGAAACTGTGAACAGCAAACTCTCTTTTAAATGGTGCATCTCCTGACATGTTGGCCTCATCATACCTGAATAAGACCAAAATCCCAGTGCGTTTTAGAATACCTGGGGCACGGGCTGTGGGTATGAGCACAGGCCCCGTGCAAAGGGGCTTAGAAGAGAGCAAATTGCACAGAGAAGGTGGCAGAGGCACTAAAGCAGCTACCCTTGTGGGGCAGGGAAAAGAGACCATCCGTGGCCCCAGGAGAAGGATGTGGGGGTGGCTATTTTTATCAAGTAACCACAGAGGGGAATGCATGCAGCCAGGAGATAATTTTGGAGTGGAACAGTGACTGCCGTAATGAGAGGTGGAGAGAGTGGAGACAGACAGCCTGACAGAGCACGGAAATGTGGGGCTGGGGAGTGGCCGGGTCACTGATAGACAGGCCCCGATAGACAAATCCACATGCAGCAGTCCCCCGAGCTCCCAGGACCCCCTCAGTTCATGTCCTTCAGCAGGAAAGGAGGGACAGCACCAGCCCTGTCGGAAGGCACGTCTGAGACCTCCTTGCAGCCCGTGGGGGAAGCAGTGGAGGGCCCGGAGTCTCTCTCACAGCCCCTCTTTGTGCCCAACCTCTGCACCCTCAGGTAAGGCAGCCCCCCGAATGAAATTCCTCACCAGTGAGACCTTCTCTCTGTCTTCATTGCCAGGCCTGGAAAAGAGGCAGAGGTTGGGCGCGCCTGGTTTTAAGGGCCTCGCTGCCCGCCTCCCACACCCTTGCCAGCTCCAGGATAGCTGGAAACTCACGGAGGAAGCCTTACTCTCCCCCCAAGGCCTCTGGGGGATTTTTCCCTCTCTGTGTTCAGATGCAGCTACATCAGGGGGCCTGAGTAGCTTTCAGGAGGGATATTGAGTTCCGTCTGGCTTGGGCCACCCGCGGTCCCGGGCTCTTCTCCATCAAGGCCTGGAGATCTGGAATCACCCCTCTGGGCGTCACCGCCCTCGCCCCCGGCCACACCGGGGCTCTGTCTAGGCCTCCAGCCCACGTTCCTGCTCGAATTTCATTTTGTCTCCTTCATCCAGGGACAGCCAGGACAGCCAGGTGGCACCCCCTCCAGGCTCTGCCCCTTCTCTTCCAGTTGCTCCCCATCTGCCAACCCCGACTGTCTGTCCTGTTCGGGAACTTGTGAGAGCCCCGCTATGGAGTCGCAGTAACATGCTCCCAAGCGCAGCGGCCACCTCTTTTTTGCACCTGACTCCCTACCAAACTGCCATGTTTCCTCCCTCTGAGAAGGAGAAACCACCGCCTTGCAGTTGGAGAAATGCAAGCTGGAGGCCCCCCACTCCATAGCTGTGTGACCCCAGGCCAGTCACCACACTTCTCTGTTTGCTCCTGTGACATAGCGGAATAATGACTCCCAGCGGCCCGAGAGGCTCGTGGAGAGGAACGCACTGTAGGAAATGAGGCCAAGTGGGGAGGTGTGCGGCGCAGGGGTTAGCAGCACGGACTCTTCTGGGCTAATGTCACAGCTCCAAGTCCCGGGTTCAAATCCTGACTTCCCCACTCCAAGCTGTTTCACCTCAGGGCCGATTTTAGGTCTCTTGCCTCAGACAGTTATTAGGACTGAGTGATTTCATGCATTTGTAACAGAATAGTGGCAAAATAACGCTAACAAATAAATAACCTCCAAGTGTGTTGTCACAAGGACACGGGGAGCTGCTATGAGTCCATTCTCCTCTTCTGTTAATCCCCGCGTGCCCATCCCGACCCCACATACACACACTTTTCTGAGAAGACGCGGGTGCACCCATCCTCCTGTCCAAAAATCCCCTCCTTCAGGCCCTCGCAAACCCATTTCTTCCTGGGACCTGCCCACAGGCACCCCACGGAACCCCGTGAATCCAATTTAATACAAAAAGTACCCACTGACCGTCTGCTCTGCTGCATGCCAGGCACTGCTGGGGACCCAGTGTGAACAAGAGACACCCAGCCCCCACCAGGCGCCCGGCTGGTTGGGGGAAACGCGCAGCAAAGGCATCGAGTAAATAAATACAAGTCCAGGGGCATAACAGCTGTGGGCAAAGCTCCTCTATTCTGCCTTTTTATTTCTCTTAAGTCACCAGTTTCCTCCTCCGCCTGCGGGCACTCACAGGCCTCGCCTTCCTAAACCAAACAAAAGGGAGCCAACAAAAGGGGAAAACATCCCTTACCTCTGCTGACCTCGCTCCAGCTTGCTGTTTCCCCTGAGCGCCCAGTTTCTGGACAGAGAAGCCTCCACTTGCTCGTGGCCCGCTCGCCCCTGAAGCCTTTGCTGCCTGGCTCCGGCTGCGTCCCTGAGCCAGCTCTCAGGGCCCCCCAAA